TACATAATTATATAGACTTTTAATATTGAAAGTAAGGAGAGTCGAACCCATCTCTAAAGATTCAATATTAAAGAAACATACACCCTAAAATTTATTAACTTCAAAAATTCTTACAAAGCTTAAGCAACTTACGTACGGTTTGAATTAGTTTGTTTAAATAAAATTAATTATTAATTATTAATAATTAATTATTATTATTTATAATTTAAAATATTTAATTTATTTAATCAAGATAAATAATTAATAATTATTTTTAAAACAATAATTCGAACTACTCCTTAATTAAAAAATCCCTTTATAAAATGATTACCACGTCCATAAAGTTTTAAACCCTCGTTTCCTCCTCCCATCCCCTTTTCCCGTAAAGTTGAGCCATTGTCTAACCATTTTTATACACTTTACAAAAATAATGGAGGGTTTAATCGGACAAGTTAGGGATCATTCAAATCTTAAAAAGAAGATAGAACTTAATCAAAAGACAATAGTGGGGATTTTAGATTTTATTTTAAAAGCAAATGTGATTTGTTATGCGAGTATAAAGAGGTGCTTAAATTCATAAATAATAAGTGCTAGACATAAATAAAGATGAGACAACACACTAATAAAAAGCAGCAAAAGACAAAAGTGGATCGTTGTGTGATTTTTGTATGTTTGGAGGAGATCGAAATCTATGCTGTAAAGATATAAAGTGGCGGATACGGATCAATCAAATCTTTATTCCTTTTGAACTTTTTTTTCTTTTTTTTTTTTAATGTCTTCTTGTTTTTGGTTTGGTTTTAGTTGTTGGGAAGTAACTGATCATATATAAAAGCATGTCCTTCAATTATTTCAGTTCATTCATTTATTTATTTTACTCTCACTATTATCATTATTATTATTGTTAAGGGATTATTATAGAAATTTTTGATTTAATATATTTTATAATATGTTTATTAATAAAAAAAAAACTTAAATTTGTTATAAAAAAAAAAAAAAAAAAATTAAAACTATCCTTGGGTGGAGATTTGCCTGGTACTGTGGATGGGGTGGTTTACAGGTGTCCTTGCAACTAGTGGGGCCAAAAGATTAGATACACATGTTATCAGAAAAATAGAACAAATTAAAAGTTTGAGTTGCTTCCACAAAAGGAAATATCTTTCCAGTCCAGCATTTTTTACCACATAAATTAGCAATTTTTCTTGATAGTCCTAATCCCTTGTTTAATCCTGACATTTTCTCTTAACTGCTTTGTCCAATTCAATACTGTGGGTTTTGAGGGAGAGTCATCCACTGTAATGAGAAATTAACTGCAGCTTTATTTTTGCATTTGTTGTTAAATGATAGAAGTCATCTAAAATACTATGACTAATACTTCTCTTGGCTCCCAGATGGAAATCAGCTCACAAGTGGTTGGTCGAAAGGATATATCAAGAAGTGCTTTTGATATATGGAAAGAGGTAAGATAGGGTCATAAATTTCATTGCCACTTCATTTTCTATTTCAAGATCTTTATATTTGAGGATGTTACCCTACAGATTTTCCAAAAGAGAAAAGTGAAGCAGGAGAAAAAATCTTATATTAACTGTGGCAGCAGCTCTGGTGAATTTGACTTTCTGCACTCCCTGATAACTAACTGGTTGGTTATTAGTTCATAGTCATATCATGTATTCTTTTCCTCTTATCTTATTGCCAAACAACTTAATTGATCTTTGACTGCAGTGGTGATTATGATATTATTTTGGATGGAATCCATGAAAACTTTTTGCAGCTCCGCTATCATGATCCAGTGATGCAAAAGACAGTAAGCTTTGCCCTATTCAATTCTTATGGCTTCGTCATTGGACCATACTGTTTTGTGTAGTACCTTATTTTGTAGTTACGAAGAGATTGCTTACCTCATTTTCAACTATCAAAAGGTCAAGTGCTTGAATTATCTTGGTGTCTCTGATCTGATGCATCAATATATTATGCGTACACAGCAAATGCCCCTTCTAGGTGAACACCTGTGGTTCGCATCTTCAATCCCCTTGCTATAATACCATTTTGTTAAGACTTAAGAATATTTTGTTATATTTTCAAAAGTCCGATTTTTTATTTGTTTTTCTGTTTCTTCTAGTTTATCAGCCTTCTCTTGCAATTTCTCTGCATCGTTTACTAGCCCAAGTTCAAAAACCAAATATTGAGTGGCCAAAGTCCTATCAGAGGTATTGCCAATCCCATTTTCAAGTTTATTGTGACTTAACTTGATATCACTGAGGACTTCCATTTTAATGGGTGATACAAACCTTTAGGTACCGAACAATATCAATGGAAAAGATGGACATATTAAGGGCTTGGCACCAGAAAATTGCACCCCATATTTCTAGACATTTATCAACTGAGCTGTTTGTAGAGGACTTGATTTCTCCCTTGCTGCATATTCTTTCACCGACAACCTTGAGACCAGTAATGAATTCACATGCTTGATTCTGGCTTTTACTTTAGTTGGATTTCTCTTTTTATCTTTTATTTTATGTCATGATCCTAAGCAGATCATTAAAACATGGAAAATAGATGACCTAGTGTGTTTCATTATCCTGATAAGTTCAGACTCTAATATTCTTGTCTTTTAGAATAAGTCAAGCTCATATTTTCTCTATGATATTGAGATTCCCTCATGTGATCTAGTTCATTTTGCTGCTGTTACCCTTATGGGTTGCTTCATTGTTAAAAGGTGGCATTGCACTTACTGTCAGAAAAGGAGAAGAATGATTTGGCTCAGTTAGTTAATGTGATGGTTTCCTATTCTATAACGTATAAGAGCATTAAGTCTGATCCTCTGCCCTCCAACCTCAGAAATGAGTTGGCATTGGTTGTGTCAGTACTTTCCTTCCATCCACCAATCAATGACTTTATTCACTTCAAGGTACATAGGCTATGCACCTAATGATTGTGGCAGGAATTTTACTTTTATTTCATGATTCTATCTGAATAACAATGTCTTTGAATTAAGCAGGACCATAGATCTGATCACCATGTGCTTTCCTTAGCTATGAAGCAGGTTTTATTGCATGAGGTGAGAATGCTATTTCTTTTCATTGTTAGCTGAGCAGATCCTAAATTCATAGCTTAAGATTTACATGATTTGTTCCTACTCCTTACTCCTTTTAGATAGAGAAGCATTTGGATAAAATTTAGCGATGTTGCTTTCCCAAAAAGCTATTGTCAGCTACTATAGCTTTATTTAAAATACAGTTAGCTCCTCTTTGGAACTGTTCCTATGTGGCCTAATGGTTTTTTGTCCCAAGCCTAAGAACTTGGTGGCCCTTGAGTTCTGAGTTCTACTCCAGCCAACACAAACCCCTTATGGATAAGGACAGTTGCTGTTTGTAGATGTCCCTCCCAAGAATTCCCATTAGAAAAAAAAGAGTTCCCCTTGTGGAGGTTTTCAAATCAAAGAAATTTGCCTTTTTTCATTTTATAATTTTTATTCAATGTCTTTTCTTAGAATAATTCTCTTTACTGGGACTGTTATCTAAATCTCCCTTTCAGTTTTTCCTTTTTCTTTTTTCCATTTTTTTAAAAAAATTACAAATAAAATAGTACTGAAATAGGTGTTTTTTTAAAATCTTTCGAAAATTTGCCTAATTAATTCTCATTGCAGGTTGAAAAGCAAAAGATTTTGCAACTAAACACAGGAAGATCTGAGAACATAACGGATGAACCCAAAAAGGAAGAGCAGACCCTTGTGCACAAAGAGGCTACAACAGCTGACTCTGCTAAAATTACTGTTAAAGGAGAAGGTTCTGGTCGGGAAAGCATAGAAAATACAATGAATATACCAAGCACAAAGCATGGCAATCCAAGTACCTCTATAAATTCGTCATCCTGGGTTTCTAATAGATGCACTATAGCTAATGCAAAGGCAAAAACTTCTGGAAATTCAAGGAAGCCTTCTGGTGGTTTCAATTTCTTTGACAGGTACAATTCAGCTTATTATGTATTCAATTTCTATTTGTGTTGTTTGTTCTTTATCTGTCATTGCACTGCTACTATACCACCAAGAACTTGGCTCAAAGTTGTAACAGGGTCTAGCATATTTACATTTAGATGGCAGTTGCTAACCCAAAGCACATGGTGAAATGTATGGCTTTCTGATGAGAAGCTTGCTTATTGAGATTGTATTAAGAGGTTTGACATCTTGTGTATCAAATTGATGATGAATAATTGGTTGTATATAGTCTGCCTTGAGCATTTGTTTATATTTTGTCATCTCTTTGTTAGGTTTGGTTGGTGACTTCATTTTAATGTTATCCATCTATTGTTTCCACTAGAATTCTCAAGTTTAGTTTATATAGATAATAAGACTGTTGAGGGTCAAGCCAGGGTTGGCATGTACTTAGGGGCTATTTCCTTTTATGCTTACCACTTTGGGCACACTTATACCAAACTCCTAGCACATCTCCCACCTTATTTAGCTGCTCTGATTTCCCATTACATTTGGGTTCAGACTTCAGAGTTCTAGACATGTATAAATTTACTCTTTTTTGTGAAATTTTCTTAATGTAGATTTATAGATTTTTTTGATGTAATTTTCCCCTTACCATAACTCAATGGCTATGTAAATTTTGTGTTGTTTCGTGAAGTGTTCTCTGGTTTCCAATGATCATCATTTGAGGATTAACATGCCTGAATAACTTGTAACCATAACAACACATTTCCCTTTTAGTTGCTGATGTAATTTATTCACTATAAAACAGGTTTAGGAAAACGAGTAGCAAAAATTCTCAGGATGCTGATACTACTATACAGAAGGAAGCACCGTTGGAGAGAGATTTACGCCCTTTATTGTTCAAATTCAATGAGGTACTTACTATTCATCTCACATCTATTTGTCATCATGAAGACGCAAAAATGTCATTCCTGGTTGAACACTAATGATGAATACGCATCACTAATTTACTATTATCACACTGAAATAGAGAAATCTTTCCAATCTCAAGATCCATATCATTCTTTTTTTCTTAAGTAATTATTATGGTAGTTTTCTCAAAATTTCATGCTATGTGCTTATTGGTACGGTATTGGAAGTTATAATTCCATTTCCATTTTCTGTTCGAAACTTTTCCCTGCATTTTATACTCTGCCACTGAATGTTTTATTGCATATATACATTGCATCAACTGCAAAACCTTTACAACTAAATCTAAATGTAAATGTGTACTACTCTTTGTTGATGTTCACGCAAAATGTCTCGTCAGCATGACCTTGAAGAAAAGTTCCAACTTATCTTATTGCCAGGACAATCATATATCAAGTCATTTCTTTTACTAGTACAATTATTTTATGTTAGCAGAAGTTAGAAACAATAAAATGTGGATAAATTCAGTTATCTGTTTTTGCACTCGTGACTATCAGCTAACAACTCCAGTTTATCATCAAGCTTCTTAAATGATCATACTTTGATCATAAAAATCATATTAAGGAAATGAACAGTGTGATTTAATTTCGGTTTTTTTCTCCCTTTAATTGCAGGGCTTTACAAATGCTATTAAAAGGCCAGCTCGTATGCGTGAATTTTTTCAATGAAAAATTGCTGTAGCAGCCAATTTCGGGGTTCCATTTCTTGTGTAATAATTAGTACGTTAACATTAATTAATCTCATCTTTTAATATTTTATGAAATTGTGCAGTATGTACATAGCATGCTTCTTTTTGCAATTATGCATCAGCTGTCTATTATACGTTTTTGTTTGGTGGAAAAACAAAAAGGTAACCTTAGAACATCAGCAAATATTATGTGGCTAAACGTATTCTTTGGTGTCGAACATTTTTTTTTTTTTTTTTAAAGC